GGATCCCGAGGGAACGATTCACTCCCAAGGGACCCCTAAGGATTCCTCCGGGATTCCTAAGATTCCCTAAGGATTCCCTCAGGATTCCGAAGATTCCCTAGGGACTCCTAAGGAATCCCGAGGGAACCCTAATGATTCCCTTGTGATTCTCAAGGGTTCCCTAAGGATTCCTAAGATTCAAAATGGACTCTCAAGATGCCCAAAGGATTCCTAAGGATTTCCTGAGGATCCCTAAGGATTCCTAGCATTCCCGTGGAATTATTAAGAATTCCCTGAGGATTCCTTAGAAAGTCCCAAGGCTCCTCAGGGATCCCTAAGGTTTTCCTGGGGACCCCTAAAGATTCCCTGGGAATCCCGTAGGGAGTCCTACGATTCCCTAGGGAATCCTAAGGAGTCCTACGATTCCCTAAGGAATCCTAAGGGAGTCCTACGATTCCCTAGGGAATCCGACGATTCCTTTAGGAATCTTGCGATTCCCTTTGATTGGTGGTCGCACTCCCCGTGTGCCAACGACCGCCCCGGCCCTGGTGGCCTGGTCGGGGCTCGAAAATCCCAACAACCCTCGGAATCCTGTAGGGTTGTTGGTCGCACTCCCCGTGTGCCAACGGCCTTCCCGGCCTCGGTGTGCATACGCCCCTCCCGGCCCCGGGGGGGGAGGCTAAACTTTACCAACTACTTCTCATCATGCCTTAAACCTACCAACTTCATCTTCCAAGAAAAACAAGATCTCAACAAGAAGCCCGGGCCAGGACGGTGGTTGCAACGAACAAGAACACCACCACCCGACGACAACGACGACAATAACAACAAGCACAACAACAACAACAACAACAACAACAACGAACACAACATTAACAACAACATCAACAGCAGCAGCAACAACAACAGCAGCAGCAACAACAACAACAACAACAGCACCAACAACAACAACAACAACACCAACACCAACAACAACAACACCAACACCACCACCACCACCACCAACAACAACAGCAACATCAACACCACCACCACCACCACAACCACCAACAACAACAGCACCAACAACAACAGCCACAACAACCGCAACAACCACAACAACAATCATTTTAAGGCTGTTCGCCCTTATCTGCTCGAGTGTCCAATAACGCGTATTTCCCGAACCCTCGATACCCGCCCTCTTCGTCTTCGCTCGACACCCCTTTAGGGGGGTATACCTTTCCTCCCTGCAGGCCGAGCCCCGGCAAGCGGCGGGGCGGCCGCGGACCGTCGGCCTGGCCAGCGGCAACGCTGATCGGCGGGGCGGCCGCGGACCGTCGACCCGACCCCAAGAGGAACGGACAGGAGACCGACGACGACGACGACGACGACGACGACGACGACGACGACGGCGACGACGACGGCGACGGCGACGACGACGACGAGCGAAAGCGAGAGCGAGATAGAACGACAGCAGGGCTTCGAGGACACGAAGTAGGCCACGAAGGCGACAACGGGGACACGAAGGGAATGCGTATACTGGGCTGCGGAAGGCAAGGACAGGGCCACTGAGGGCAGCAACGGGGCCACGAAGGGCAGCGAGGGGGCCACGAAGGGCGACAGCGGGGCCACGAAGGGCAGGAAGGGGGCCACGAAGGGCGACCACGGGGCCACGAAGGGCATGCGCATGGGGGCACGCCGGGCGCGAACGATCGGGGGCCACGAAGGGAAAATCATGCGGAGCCACAGAAGGCAACGACGGGGCCACTGAAGGTAGCAACTGGGCCACGTAGGACAGCGAGGGGGCCACAAACGGCGACAGCGGGGCCACGAAGGGCATGCACACGGGACCACAAGGGGCGCGAACGAACGGGGGCCACGAAGGGCACGGAGGGCTACAACGGGGCCATGAAACAAAACGAGGGGGCCACGAAGGGCTGCAACGGGGACACGAAGGGCAGCGAGGAGGCCACGAGGGGCTGCAACGGGGCCGCGAAGGGCAGCGAGGGGGGCACGAAGGGCGACAGCGGGGCCACGAATGGCATGCATATGGGGCCACCACGGGCGCGAACGAGGGGGGCCACGAAGGGCATACATATATGGGGCCACGGAAAGCAGCGAGGGGGCCACGAAAGGCAGCGGGGGGCCGCGAAGGGCTGCATCGGGGCCACGAAGGGCTGCGACGGGGCCACGAAGGGCTGCGAGGGGGCCACGGAGGGCTACAACGGGGCCACGAAACAAAGCGAGGGGGTTACGAAGGGCTGCGACGGGGCCACGAAGGGCAGCGAGGTGGCCACGAGGGGCTGCAACGGGACCACGAAGGGCAGCGAAGGGGCCACGAAGGGCTGCAACGGGGCCACGAAACAAAGCGAGAGGGCCACGAAGGGCAGCAACGGGGCCACGAAGGGCAGCGAGATCCCGATTCTTAGGTAATCTGTGAGGGAGTCCTAAACGTGACACGAGTCCTGAATGCCTGGGTGTCGGGAGCGCGGCGCTTTAATACATCGCAATAATGTTCAACGCAAGGACGCTATTCTTCAGTAAATTGCAAGCAAGTCTCCAGCGAGAGCGCGAATCCAGAGCGCCGGGAAAGCGATTCCATAATAACTTGTAAGAACGTCCCAAGCGAGAGCGCGATTCCTGAATAAAATGCGAGGATGTCTCGGGCGGGAGCGGGGGTCCTGGCTAAATTGTGAGGGAGTCTCAGGCGGGAACCGTGGTTGTTGTACCCCGGGGGCCAACGACACAGTTTGACCCTCAAGACCTTCCTTGATAAAGAACCGGATGCGAGCCCCGGGAAGGGCACTTCAATTGAGAAAAAACAATGTGCACCGGACGGGGGGGAC